TTACCCAAATATATGCAGCTAATGGGTAGTGAACTAGGCTCTATTCACAACATTCTGACTTCTAGTCTCGTGCTTTCTCCACGACACTCAGCTGCCTCTTCTGGGTGAGGTAATCAGTGCCCCGGCCTAAGCAGTGAGCAAGTAGTGTCTGGTCTTGCATCAGGCACTGAGGGTGTAGAAGCAGAGCTCTATTCATTGCAGAGGCAAGGGCCTGAGAATTGTGAAGAGCAGTTGTAGGGACATGCTGCGGGGGGCCTGGACTGGGCATAGGAGGAGTATAATCACCAATGACTTTGTCTTGCCTTTGTTCAAGTGGGAGCAGAATATCCAAGTGTAGACAGTGAAAAATAATTTTCAGCTGGAAACCTGCCATGACTGGCTTGGCTTTGCCAATGGGATCTGATTAGTATTCTTGAGCTTTCATTAGCATTTGAAGGAAATACCCAAATGACACAAAGCTGGTTCTAGCAGCTGAGATTTAACATTTTAACCCAATTTCTCTAATGCAGTTAACCTGTGATAAAATGCTGGTTAAGCGCCTTCTTTTCATAAACCATTTTGAGCCTCAACAAGCAAACCATTTATACAAGCACCTTTGCACTCACCTCTGCCAAGCCAGGTCGGCGGACGTGCCTCCTTGTGTGAATTACATCATTTGCTGCTGGGGTAGAGAACTGGGAGTACTTTTCCCAGCCTTGGCTGGACCGGAGCCAAGGTTAAGTGCAAATCCCTTAACATGATCTCCCTGTAACTGCCTCTTGTGCTGACACAAGCCTGCCCTGGGGAGCAGTACTTTAGTCCATCCTTTGTTGCAGGTTTTCCATTTTAGGGAGAATTGATAGTGAGACTAAGTATAAACACATCCTCTGCCAGTCAAATGCTGCGGCTAGGGTTTTTGAAAAGGATCTGGGAAGTCTGGTGGCCAGCAATAATATTTATATTGAAACTCACAGCTCTTGCTTCACAGGGTGAGGGCAATGATGGTCAAGAAAGGAATTCCCTTCCCCATATACGATGCTTCTCACATGACTCAAGAAAGCAAGGAAATATTACTTTGAGTTCAGAGTAAATCCTGTACTAGTTTCTCAGTTGCATAAGATTAAGAACCCAAGATAATGTGTTCATATTCAAATTTTTCCAAATACTATTTTCTACTTCTAAAGGAAAAAAAAAAAAAAGGTAGCTCAACTGGTATTTTGTCTTTCTCCCTTTCTTTTAACTCTCTCAAAGGCTTAGGGGCATTTTCATCCAGTTCCTGACTCTCTAACCCTATAAAAAAGTAGAACTTCCTATTGTACTGAAAAAAAGAAAAAGCCTATAATGTCTCCTTTAGAAAGATATTTAACAACTTTATTTTACCAGTTAAATTTGACATGGTTCAATTATAATTCTCCATTCAATTACAAAAATCAGTGTTCCAACCCCATTGGCTTTCTTTCTGATTACAGTAAATAAAATCTAAAAATATTAAAGAAACAAGTAACTACCCCAGGGATGTGAGTGCTGTAAGTTTTTCACCCCTTCCTTAATGTTCTATAAACAAGAGTCAGCAGCATTAGAATACCACAACATGAGAGAACCATTTTTAGCCTAAAGCAGTAGGGAAAGTATTCCATGAGTTTATTCTTGTTTTTGTGTGCCTATCCTAATATACACACAACTATAGGAAAGATTTCCTACTTTTCAAAAGTTTCCAGTTCAAAATTGAGTCTTATTTCAGGACTATGTGGAAAATAATCTACAGGATGCAGGCAATATTGAGATCTGTTATTGAGGGTTTAAAATAACATGGAGTCCTAAGCAGAGAATTTTTAAACATTTGGCTATTATTTTGAAGGACAAAAAGAAATAGCTTGATGCAGATTGAAAGGAGGAAAAATTCAGTGTTTTATGAAATGCACCACTCCCAACACCCTTACATAGCCTTGATACTACCTGGGTAAGAAATAAGCATAAAGGAATATCTATTTGCAAAGACTTCTTGGGATACATGTTCTTCTTAGAAGAATCTGTGCATTTTAGAAGTCTATTTCCCTGAAGTTTCTTCCAGTGGCACTTAAGCCCTCTTATTTTATAATCTTATGTATAGAAACCTTTGCTTTGAGAATAAATTAATATTTTTACAAGCATGATGAGTAAAATTCAACCGCATACAAGATGTGTAATATAATCGTGTGTTTGTATGTGTATCTTGTTTTCAAAAAGAACATTATTCTAGGGTGTTAAAAAAAAAACAAAAAAACCTTTTAAAATACGAAGATCAGAGGTTTCTCCATTTTCCATAGGAGTGTCATGTTTCCATGGTGATGAAAACAGCTCCTGATACCGGATTAATCAAGGTGATCTGTGGGCTTCCTGCTTCCTACTTCCATATAACAGGGAGATGCACTGAAGAAAATGGGAAACCAGTGGCATGTGCGATAGGTGGGTAGAAAAATACCAGGAAGTTCAGGTTCAGGTCTTAAGATTTTGTTATATCAATGCCATTCGGAGAAATGACAGATCCTTTCCAAGGTTTTTTTTTTGTTTGTTTGTTTTGTTTTCAAAAGTGACATTCTGTTTTTAACAATACCTTTAGAGTAACTCCACAAAATATGAAAGCTTTGATAAAAATTCAGAACCACCTCTTCATGCAGTTTCCACTGCCATCTAGATAAACCAAATGAGTGAAACCCCACATCACTTTTCTGGTTTTCACTCCTTGCGAATACCTACTCAAAATTCACGGGGTTCACTCCCGCCTTTGAGTTTCCCAGCTGTACTACCTATTCATCCTTCTAACTTACCAAAGCAGTTTCGGGAACCCATCCCAGCAAACCCTTTCTTAATCACTGTGGGAGTAACGAATGAGTCTCTCCGTCACTGCCTATCGAGGAGGGCGGTGCTCCTTGTGCTCCACTCCAGCCCTTAACATGCACTTGATCAGGGTGCTGCAAGTTAACAGGGGCCCTCACACCTGGCTGTGCATCAGAATCATCCTAATCATCCTATGCAGAGTATTGGGCCTCATTCCAGAGCTATGGAATCAGAATCTCTGGGAGGAAGTCCGAGAATGTACAGTTTTAATCAACCTATGAGTGCTTCTGAGGCCCTGCCAGGTTTGGAAGTCAATGACATATGGTTTTAGTTTGTATCTATTCTGTTCCCTATGGGTATCTGTGTCTCTTTATGTGAATTGGATGTGTTTAAGAGGAATAATCAAATACTAGCAAGCACATTTTGTAGTGTTTAAATGCAGATTCCCAAGCACCAGGGAGTAAGGCTTACCAAATCTGACTCTGTGGGGATATGGCCTGGGAGTCTGCATTTTAACAAACCTCTCCATCCTCCCTTCCCGAAATGATTTCCTTGTATAGAGAAACACTACCGCTTTTGGAACCAAACTGGAACACCTACTGGGACCGGGCACACCACTTCAATGAATGAGGCAGCCTGGGTGGGGAGGGACCAAACGGAAGCTGATGCCCCATGGAAAGGGGGAGGCACTGCTCTGCCTCAGCAGTTCATTACTATTTTTCCAGAGTAGAAATAGAGCCAGTATTGTCTATGTTTCGAATTTTTCAGAAGCTACAAGTTCAGAGCAATTTAATTTCTTAACATTCAAAAAACAGCCAATAAACAAACAGCTGCCACCGACAACTTGTGCCCTCTGCCTTTGAGGGTTTTACCCATGTACCTTGAATCTCCGGTGATTTGCAATGCCTTGTGTCATCAGGAGCCTGGTCGAGTGACCTCTTAAAATGAATCATATAGTATGATAGAACCGCAGCGTCACAAGTTCCTACTGGGTCATCCAGGCCCCTCCCACCATTTAATGTTTAATCCCCCTACTTTGGCATTCCCCTCCAGTGCTGACACCCCAAACCATGTCTCTCATCTAGATCTATTGCCTGTGCTGCAATATCTGAATGTATTTTGGCTACTTCAACTCGGATATCATTTAAATACCTCAAATGCAACATGGCCCCATATAAAATTGTCGTGTTCTAGTGCCATGACTCCAAGTGTTCTTCTCCTCGCATTGTCTCAGTGAACACCAATACGGCCTCGCGAGCTGCTGAAGCCAGAAGTCTCAGTGGCATCCTTAATTCTCTGCCCTTTATCACAGCCCCATATCAGATCATCTACTATCTTTCATTCATTCTGCTGTTACCAGCATGAAACCTACAAGCTGTCACCTTTTCTAGGCAAGCTCTTTGCATCTTCTTCATTGTGAAAATAACACTGCAACTGTCTGTCTCATAACCAGCCAACTTGATTTTACAAGGAAAATCCTGCTCTTTTTCTACAAGGTGAAACCCAACTAACCTTTCTTCCTTGGCTAAGAGTTGAGCTCACTTGGAAGAGAATAATTTATTAAAAATGAAATTCTCGTATTAGAAATGAATTTGGACACTGGCATGAAGCCCAGGATCATGGGACCCAGCCTCGGAAAGCAGAGAGCTCTAACGATCGATCTGGTAGCCTCCTCTTTATGCTGAAAGGAAAAGGGGACTGAGAGAGCAGCAAGTAGAGAGATGGCTCTAGGGGTCACACTTTTTAGGTCCTCTGTTGAAGAATTCCCAGTCACAGGCTTCTCTCATAGCCCACATGGAGATATAAAGAAACCCTGGTGCAAAGCAAAAGTGCCAGCAACGATTAAGACCAGCTGGGAACACAGGCAGTAGTCCCAGCGTCCAAAATACCTCAACAGGTTCTCTTCTAATGTCAAAGCAATTATTTCTAAAGGAAAGAGAATGAAGAATCAAGCACCTGTTTTTAATAATAAGAATAAAACCTTAGTTGGAAACTTCTTGTTCCTTTTTAAAGTATGTCAAACATCTACAGATTCCATCATTTTGGTAGCCTCCAAGAAAAGCTGTACGGTTTGACATGAGAATTAGGCTATGCCTACAGTAATTTTTAAGCTTCTCAAAACTCTAGGAAATTAAATTCCCTACATAGTACTACTGAAAGAGAGAACAGATATTTATTAAACAAAATAAAAATGGATTACAATGTTCAGGGTGAAAACTGAGTATTTTATTTAATAATAAAATGTACGTATAAGAACAATTCAGTGAAATATAAAACAAACCTTTTTTCCCCCTTAATTTCAACTGTCCTTTCTAATACCCATAGGGAGGAAGAGATGAAAAACAAAAGACCTGCTAGTCTGTAACTAATGGTCCAGAAAGAAATATTTACCTATTAGCCATCGTTTCACTCAATGGATTGTGAAATGCAAAAGCACACATCAATTTATTCATCAGTAGTCAAGTAGGGAGGTAAACCCCTCTTTCAGCATCTTCCTGCGTATCTTAGTTTGGATGGTGAATGAAGAAGGAAACACTCTAAAATGTCAAATAAGGAAAAGACACCACCTAGAAATGAGTGACAGTAATTCACAGGGATACTAAAAATAAGAATCAAGTTGCAATATCTGTACTCAGTGACACGAGGTATCAACACACCTTCCTAATCTTATCATTTTATCGTGTCTACATGGATCTTCCTTATAGCATGCTTTTTTCATCAATTGTGGAATATTTTTTGAGAAGAAAGAGTGTAGGTCACCGAGGCCATTTGTTCTCGTAGCTCTCTGGCTGGCGGGGATCCAAGTGTGTATGAAGATGAGTGTGCGGCCAGCTTTTTCGCTGCTGGTCTTTCTATCTGCAGAAGCTTTGAGTGCATTTATCAGAAGCCAAACCATGCCAACTCTTTTGATATTAGGTCTTTGGGTGGAGCTTTCAAAATCATTCTTTGTTCCACTTTTCCTAGATTGTCAAACTGCGCCCAGTAGGTGGTTGAGAGTGTGAATTTCAAACATGTGCTTTTAATATGCCCAAAATTGTTGCTGCAAAGAAGGGGGAAAAATCCACATTAATTGAATCCTCGCCCATTCTTACTCATAATGTCATGATTGTATTTTCTATATCATAAAACAATCTGAAATGATTTGCAAAACTATGTGAAATCCTCAGATGAATAAGCTTACAGGTTTTAAAATATGTATTCTTATTAAAAGGAATTATTTTCTCACAACAATCCAACAAAACCCACACAGAGTAAGTACAGGTCAACAATTAAAAACTAATAATATTGTAATCTTTTCTTTCATTTACCCTAGCCTTCCTATTGGAATACTAATGATCATTAGCAACATTATGATATCTGTAGACACTACATATTTTAACATTTCTTCGCAATTCTCTTTAGAATATTTTTCTTACAAATATCTTTTGGAAGGTCACTATTATTCCCATTTTATAGATGTCATATGGAGATTGTAACAGTATCTACCTTCAAAGGATCACTTCAGGGATTCTCAAAAGATCATGCACATTAAGTACATAGAGTATTTGGCACTATTATTGAGTGCTCAAAACATGTTGGCTACTGTTAATATGCAAAAGTATTAGCAACTATATTAAAGTTAACAGAAGTCCATTTTAAGTAGGCCAACCTAGTTTGAGTCTTCCTCTAGCACTGGACAGTTCTTCCAAACAATGCAGGTATGACTGTTTCATATGCTGGTCCATCTGCCAGGACTGCTCTTGTCTCCTCACTTCCGATTCCTCACCCCTCTACCTGGCTAATTCTTAGCAGCTAGAGATTGGCATAGATGGCATTTCTCCAGGGGCGAGCAGTCGCTAACCTCACCCACATCTAGCTGATATATACAGTGGGGCACTCCTCCTACCCGCTTCAACCATATTGTAATTTCTGCTTCTTTGTCTGCATCCCCTTAACACTAAAGCTGCATGAGGGCAGGGATCGTGTCTACCTTTGTATACTACATTCTTAGCACAATGACAAGCTCAGTGTCAAAATATAGTGGGTGCTCAGTAAATATCTGCTGTATGAAGACACCTGGTATCTGAAACCAGCCTGGCTGGCGACTGAAAGAAAGCTTTTTGATGAGTGTGAGTGATGCTGCCCACCTGAGAGATAAGCAGCTGTTAGTGATGGGACCAGCTGAGGATGAGAGTGGTAAGGTGGGATGTGCCACTGCGGAAGCTCTGAGTAGAAGCAGGGGGGCAGAGGGGAATCAGTGCTAGGGGAGATCAGATTCCACCTGTCACTGTCAAACTAGCACAGTCCCATCCAGCTTCAGTGGTTCTGGATATTAGACACCAGCCCTGCAGCATGGGGAGCGAGAGCACGGGTCGACTGCATCTCCTTTTCACTCAGCAGGTTAGAGAGACTCAGAATCAAGCCCTTAGGTCCCAGTCTTCCAACCAGAGTCGCAACAACAAAATGGGGGTCAGGGGTTTCTGCTGGCTGGAGTGAAAGGGTCCAATCTGATCCATGGACCCCTGAAAACTTACCAGACAGTTGGGATGTGTAGTGCACGCCTGACCCAACCCAGAAGTGCAGTGCTGAGGGAGAAGCTTTGAGACCGGGGACACGGCTGAAGGTAAATGAATTGAAATGTTCTGATTTGTTACGGCAGTTGCATCGTAGGAAGGGGTGACTTTAGAATAATATCTGACAGTATGCAAGGAATTCAGAGAGAGCGCTGCACTGGGAATGTGAGTTTTATATGGATCACCAATAGCATTCTCTGAGGTGGAGCTTGACGGAACTTTAATGAGAAAGAAAACAAATATGGGTCAGTATCCACAATTCTGTAATTCGGAACGACTGTTATTTGACATAAACTGCCCGCTGTTTCATTTCCTCGCATTACAAAGCTGTGCTACCGCTACACCCGAACGCTGATGGAAAAACAAAGTGAACTTTCTAATTGTGACATTTAGAGCAACACACACACTATAAATTAGTGTTCATGTGTCATTAAAAGACAGATGTTAGAGAAGCGGAAGATCCCTGTGCCTTTTGATGTATATGAATGTGCATGTCAATCAAAATGGAATCTCTCTGAAGCAAGGAAGAAGGTTGGAAAGAACAACTCCATTCAGCAGAATGGTTAATATCATTATACAGCTATATTCTACATGGTAACTAGAAGAAAAAATTCAATATATAATATTAACAATGTAACCTCAAATAATACCATGAATGTTTATTTTCTACTGGACATCAATAACATTGAAAGTAAAGTAATATAATGGTATGTCTACTTTAAATACAAATGTATCTGAAATGTTTGTGAAAAAATAATTTAAGCAAATATATACAGAGATTTATGAAAAAGAACAGAAAAAGGCAAGCTGATAAGGTTAAAACATGTATGTATTACAGATCGGGCTCAGCACAGAAACCTTGAGACTTCGGGTGGTCATTTAACTTCTCTAGCCTTCAATTTCCTGATGCGGGTGGTGAAAGTGAAATTTGGAAGACTTAACTGATTGAACTTCTCCGATCCTCTTTCCAAAACAACTTGGCAACATGCATTAAGAGCTATACATACATTCACGTTCTCTGTTCTCTAACTCACCCATTACACTCTTCCAGGAACCCATTATACTCTTCTAGGACTCCAGTCCAAGGAAAAGTCCAAAATACAGAAACCCTCATATATGGGAAAATATTTCCTATCACATGACATAAAAAATCACTCTCCCCTCAAACTGCAAATGCTAAATGTAGCGATTGGAAAATGGCTAAGAAAATTACTCTATAAATCACTTGATAAATAATTAAAACCATTAAAATGGTGATGAGTGATGCATAACAACAAATATACGTATGTATGACACAAAGTTAAGTAAAAAAATTCAGGAAACCAAATGGATGTTCAATGATTACTACCATAGAAAAATATACCTGGAAGAAGACTTGAAGGAAATACGTCAAAAAATGAACACAGTGATTATCTTAGCCAGGTTAGTAAAGGATCGGCACTGGTTTTCAAACGCAAAAATGTATTTACATCAAATAAAAATGGGAGTTTTGACTCCTTAACCTTCAAGGCCTCCTAGGGTTTGAACATGCCACAGATCTATGGTCCTAGCGCATCTCTGGCTTCCCTAGATCAGTCTCCTTAGGGGAGGTAGTGCCTCGAAATGCTGGGGCACAGAAAGGCCTGAACTCGCTGCCACAAAATGTTTCAGAGTGTCTGCAGGACATAAATAGTATTGTATGTACAAAAAAATAACATTGACAGGCATATGCCTGTGGCCTGACCTCTATCTGATTTAATCTAGGCTGATTTAATCATTCCATATCACATTCAGCCACCGCTACTTTAAGTAGATTAACCGTGGCTTATGGCAACTTTTTTTTTTTTTCCTCTTATCCTCTCTTCTCTTCTCTAAGTCAGGAGAAAAGTCTAAATTGACTAAAATAACACCCTGAAGCTTCTTTGGTGATATGAAGAATCAGGGCTAGGTTCTATCTGGGGGCCCCTTCTCTTTTGACTTTAGACACCATCTTGAGTACCCTTCATTTGTTCCCATGGCTTCCGCCACATCCCCATCTACATCCCCATCTATGCACGGTGCCTCTACTACAGCACTTACAAGACTGTCTGGGCCATATTTTCTTTTGTGACCCTTTCCACCACTAAGTTGTGAGCTTCATAAGAACAAGAACTGCCTTTCATTCATCTCTGTGTCCCCATCTTTGAGGCAGGGACATGTAAGCTGAGAACTAGGGACGGACTTGGTGCTGCCCAGGGCAGGTGAGGGAGGAAGGACATTTCTGGTACATTGGTGAGAGCAGAGCCTGTTGGAGGAAGTCAGAAGTGTCGTCTAGGACTGAGAGGCTGAGGAGACAGGCAGTCCTGTCATCTAGCATCTAACATTTAGGTCAAGAGGTCCATACCTTCCTGGTTTCTAGATGGAGAGTAACTTCACCTTCAGGAATACTGAAAGTCACAAACTGCTAGCTGTGTTCTTTTCCTCTATCTTTTTCCACCTTGTTATTTCAAGTACACGGGCATGTCTAGGCTTATATAGCACATATAACAAAAATGACTCCCAGTGGGAAAGCATTTGTTCCACAATGAATATTCATATAAGGAGATTTCTTGAGCCCCTCCTGTGTGTTGGTCATCGTTCTAGGTACTAGAAATACAGTAATGTATCAAACCGGCCAGAAAATTCCCTGCCTTCATGGAGGTGACATTCTAATGGAAGAAGATAGGCAACAAACAAAACACAGGAGTGAAGAACAGCAGGAGGCAGTGAGTGCTATCAAGACAAATACAGCAGAGAAAGTGGATGAGGAGTGCCTTGCGTCATGTTTATGGTAGGGAGGAATGTGCAGTTTTATCCGGGTGGCTGAGAAGATCTCTTTGAGAGGTGACATGCAAGCAAAGGCATGAAGGAAGCAAATAAATATGTTAAATGCTCAGGACACAGTCCGTCCTGAAATAATATGAACACTTCACCTCCCCTGAGATTCTATTTCTATTATAAACAAAGTCACCAGTGTGCTTATCATCTATCAACAAAATGAGCTTTCTGGTAATTACGGTCAATTTTGAGCCCAGTTTCTGACATAACACTGTTTAAATACCCGTAGCCACCTTGTGTACCTGAGGCTGACAACACCAGAAGGCCTCGTCAGCTCTCCTGGATTCCCTGGTTATGGAGGTGAATGCACAGGAGCCTGGGGGTTTGCAGGGCAGTGCAGGTCCCCCTGTAAGTGGCACAGATGTTAGGTGAAGCTCACCTCTCACGGCTTCATCCAAGGAGCCCTCTGCGTCACGCGCGGAGCACCCATTCCAGCACGTGTTAGTCAGGAATTGGAGCCCTCTCTCAGGGGAGTAAGTGCTCGTCACACTATCTTCCCTTGAAAGGACAGAAAAAATTCTTTGCATATTTTTCAAGGAAAACAATGTGAACATTGCTGAGTTCAACTGGCCTTTTATCATTCAAGTTCTAAAAACACTGATAAAGCCTCCACTGTGGATTCTTTACATATGAACACAGACACAAGACCCACGATGATTTCTGAGGATGTGCAGGAATGATGTGTTTTTCTCCACACTTTCCCTGTTTACATATTCTCATCAACCTACGGAAGGAACTAATCATTTGGGAAGTCACATTTGGCACTAGTGACCTGCTTTAAGCACCACTAGTTGAACCAGGGCTGGACAGCTCCAGGGCCCGAGACCTCTCCAGGATGGAGGAACACCAGAAGCCATCGCGTCCCTGCTGGACTGCCACCATCCCTACACTCACAAGGGAGAAAGCCCCAATTTTAAGAATCTCAGAAATAACAAAAGGAGAAGCAAGGGTGAGTCACATGATGAAAAAACCATGGACCTGAGAATATTACCTGTGTTTATCACTGCAACGAAATGATACACATTGGCAATTAGAGAAGTTCACTGACCCTTAATATGCCCCTGCGCTTTCACTGTGGATGGGATCAGTTTTTGTCTACGTGTTAGCATCGACATGGGAGGAAAATAGCTAGCAGACTTCAGATTCGCAAGAGCCCTTATCATACCGCTGTGCCATGACAGTGCCTGGGACAGAGAGCTGGATGGGTGTTTGTTGTTTCTTACAAAACCTCCTGTTGCTCTGAAGTGCTTCTGTAATCTAAAAAATACAGAAATATATTTAGGTAGATACTGACATTTCTACATACAAACAAAGACACATACTTTCCAATGATAAAAAATTCAAAGAAGTAAAATTGTAGTATTAAAGCGTTGTCTATAAGGATAAAATTCAAAGCTCTGGGAGTCAAATACCTGGGCCATAATGGCTGGAGAGATTTTCTCCCGGATATATTTCACATAATCAACTGTTGCCTCAAGAACTGAAGCCGCGTCATTCTTTCTCCCCTTTACATACGGCAAGAGAGTACGCAGCTGCTCGCAGCAGTATTTGATTCTTTCTCTGGACACAGAATTGCAATACATAAAGAATAATTAGTCTCATTTTCTTCCTTGTACCCAAAGACAAACCACCCTTCCTCCTGGGTATGTTTGTAAAAGAACCACCCCTCCCTACGCAGTCTCCATTTCAGAGAAAGGCGGTGTCCCTACAAGCCAGCAGCCCTCACAGCCCCTGAAATCCCAGCTTCCTGGGGTACCCACACATACCACTGTGCAAAGCACCACTGCCCAAGTGCACTGTGTGTGCTGACGGCAGCCCCAGCTCTCTCACCTCAGGCCTGCCGCAGAGCGCTGGATGCCCAGTCACTGAGGAGGGCACCCTTCCCACCCCCTGCTGCCTACGGAAACGTGCGGACCACTCTGCCCTCCCAGCAGAGAACTGTACACGATACAAAAATCCTTTTGCAATTCACACTAGAAGCCTAGAAGGCAAAGAGCAGTAAGGACCTTCATGTCACTGGGACCTAGACCACGTTTCCAACAGCAGATCAGCTAGCATCTTGTATCACATGACTTCGTGGCCTGAGCAATAAGAAAATCAGAAGGCTGCTTCCTTTACATGAGGTAGGTATAGACAGAATGAGTAGACCAAGATGCAGGTATCAGAAAGAAACTAACCCGTCTTTCGCAGCTCTGAAGGGGGATGGGAAATGTAGACCTAACTGACTTAAGCCCTTGGTGGTTTCATTTATCCATGTGTTCATTTAATAAACATTTTTAAGCCCCTGTTTTGTGCTGAATACTACCTTGACATCTACAGGGTTGAATGGTGGTTCTGCTATTACTAACTGGAACCTTAGGCAAGTTACTAAACCTCTGTAAACACCAGAATGGCAGAGAAATTAAATTTAAAAACCTAGTTTGACATATGGCCAATGAGTAACTCAAATGGCGTTCTCACTGAGCTCTGAGGAACTCTGGGGTGTCTGCGCAGGCGTCTTAGGGACTATTCTGGGAAGGGGAGGCTAGAAGAGTCAACAATTTGACAATGTGTCTGAAGGGCTTTGAAACTTCTCACACCCTTTGACATGATACTTCCACTTACAAGGATCCATCCTAAGGAGTGAATCTAAAACACAGAGCACAGTGTGTATACACAGAAACCCATCAGAGCAATATATTAGAAAAATATGGAAAACAATACTTAATATAGGAGGATGCCTTAAGTAAGCTACAGTACATTAGTTCAGTACAATGTCACCTGGCAGTGGAAGTGATATGTTATAAAGCTTATTGGGGAAAAGTAGGACACAAAACAGCATATAAAATATAATCCTAGCCACTAAACAAAGTAAAAATGAAGCCTAGGAAAAAAGACTGAAGGCAAAAACATCCAGTACAGTTATTTCTGGATGGCTGGACGACGGATCCTTTTTATTCCCTTTATTTTCTATATCTTCCAAATATTTCTGCCAGGCATATGTCACATTCATAATTGAAACTATTAAAATGCTATTAAAATTTTTCCAACATTAGAAAAATGTTCAAACATACAGAAAATTTGAAAGAATTATACAGTGAACACCTATACACTCACCACTTAAGAGTCTACAGTTAACATTTACTGTACAGGTTGAGTATCCCTCCACATAATGCCTGGGGTAGTGTTTAAGATTTCAGACTTTTTTTGGATTTTGGAATATTTGCATATATATAATAAGATAGCTTGCGGATGGGACCCAAGGTTTAAGACAAAACTGATTTATGTTTTATAATATATACATAGCCTGAAGTATATCTAAGTTGTTGAATTTACTGGCCTAAAATTGTTCAAAGTATACTCTTTTGTATTTAAATATTTAGAGTAGTTATCATGATCATCCCTCTTTCATTCATGATTGTGATATATTATGTCTGTCTCTCTCCCAGCCTCCTCCCCCTTCACCACCCCGCTTATTTGGGTTTACTTTGTTTTACTTTGGCTTGCTTCCTAAGATGGAACCTTATATTACTGATTTTTAGGCCTTTTGCCTTATCTAATATAAGCATTTAAAGTCACAGTGTTTTCCCTAAACTTTGTTGTAGTTTATTTAAAAACTTTGATATATTGCATTCTCTTTTTTTAAATTGGAAGTTCCATGATACATGTGCAGTACATGCAGGTTTGTTACATGGCTAAAAGTGTGCCATGGTGGTTTGCTGATGTATTCTGTTCTCAACAGATTCACTTTGAAATATTTTCTAATTTTTCTTGTGATTTTTTTTTTGTTTTACCCATGGATTACTTAGAAGTTTTTTTTTTTTTTTAAATTTCCATTCAAGATTCCCCTTTACATCTTATTCTTACCAATTTCTAATTTAATTTCCTTGTGGTCAGGGAACACATCTTTTTAATTCAACTCTTTTGAATGTATCGAGGCTTCTTACATTACACCCGGTATACAGTCAGTCTAAGTGACTGTACCATGTGCCACTGAGGAGGAGTCTTCTGCTGCGGCTGTTGGGAGTGTTGCTCTATAAATATTCATGAGATCGAGGTGGTGAGCAGTGTTCACATCTTCTAGAGCTTACTGATTTTTTGGTGTCTAGTTGCATAAATTGCTGAGAGAGGAGTGTTAAATCTTTAGCAATCATTTTTAAATTATCTATTTGCCCATTTAATTCTGTAAATTTCTGATCCAAGTATTTTGAAGTTCTTATCACATGCTATTTGTGATTTTAATATCATTCTGAGAAGTTGACACTTCTATCATTATAAATTGCCCCTCTTTACCTCAGGTAATACTGTTTGTCTTCAAGTCTACTTTATTTAGTATTAAAACAGCCTATTTGATTTTCTTATACTTCCTGTTTCCACAATGGATATATTTCTATTAATTTATTTTTTTATATTTAAAGCTTCTCTGTTACAGACAGTGGATAGCTAGGTATTGGGTTTTGTTTGTTTTTATCTATTCTGAAAACTTCTGCCTATAAGTTGGATATAGCTGGATAAAGGTCTACCATACTTTTTTTCCCCCTGTAGTCTCTTTTGCTTTTTTATTCTTCTGTTCCTCCTTTCCTTCCTTCTTTTTAAAATATTTTTAAAATTCCAATTTTAATTTACCTTTTGGCTTCACAGCAATGCATTTTGCCTATCTCTTTAGGGTTGCTCTAGGGATTACAATATATATCTGAAGTTTTCATAGTCTAGAATTAATACTTTATGACATCACATAAAATGTATAACTGCAGAAGTTATGCAAGTGCATTTATCCCACTCATTCTTCATGTAATAGTCAAATGTACTATAGCTACATATGTTATAAACCCCATAATACATTGCTATAATTTTTGCTTATAACAGTTTTAAGTATTCTAAATAGTTTAAAATGAAAAATGTTTGTTTTTGCTTAGACATTTGTCATTTCTGGTGCTATGTAGTCCTTCCAGTGATTCTAGTTTCCATTTGGTATTATTTCCCTTCAGCCTGAAGAATTTCCCTCAGCTTTCTTACCCTGCAGGTCCACTGGTGTCAAAATATATAAGTTGTCTTTTATCTGAAAATGTCTTTATCTTACATGAAGATAAAGGGAAATAATATCTGATGGAAATACAATTTGCACAAACAAGTGAAGAGTCTAAGACATGATAAATATGGTAGCATACATTAAAGGGTAGTTTTCTAACTTATTAATGTTTTAAAAACCAATAGTATATTTATTTGACAGGCCCAGAGCAGCTGTATACTGCTAAGATTTCTGCTACAGAGGCAAGAAAAAAGTGTCCTTGTACTTTATGTCCCTTTGATGGTGGCAGCCAAGATTGAGTGCAGAAATGCAGGAGCAAAAGATGGTAATACAGGGAAATTCATGGGGAGAGAATTTTGGCAACTCGGACAAAACCTTGTATACAGTGAAGAGCCTGTTCTACTGCAAACAAGAATCTGATATTTGGGTAAAAAGTTAAGAGTTAAGATTAAAGTCACTGAAAATTACTTATTTCTCCAACGAAGAGTCAGGGTCCATTTCCTCTCCTCTTGAATCTTCACTGGCCTGTGCCTACTTTAACCAAAAGATATCTGGAGAGTGACTCTATGAGAGCTCTGGGACCAGTATTTCAGAAGATGTAGCTTTCATACTGGTCTCATGGAATCCTAAGCCTTCATGTAAGAGGTCCTTCTAGCTTGCTGGAGATACCATGCGGAGAAGTGATGAGACCACAGGGAAGAACAGCCCATTTGAGCACAACCTGCAGCCACACCCACCAGAAGACCATATGTGTGGATGACGCTGTGCTGGAATCTCCAGACAGGCCAATTGCTGGCTGAACACATGGAGTGCCATGGTTAACACCACACAGAGAAGAATAACAGAGCCAAGCTCTGCCCAAACTGGTGGTGACTCACAAAATCATGAGATATGATACACAGTTTGTTGATTTCCACTGCCAAGTTTTAGAGTACTTTGTTGTACAGTATTAGATAACTGGACAACAGCTTACCGTTTAGGCAAAACTAATCACAATGCCGGGTTGATAACTGATGTGGCTTGGATGTTTTGTCCCCTCCAAATCTTATGAAATGTGATGCCCAGTGTTGGAGGTGGAACCTGGTGGGAGGTGTTAAATCATGGGGGCGCTCTAGGGTTGAGCTTAGTGCCATCCCCTTGGTGATGAGTTCTCACTCAGCTCATGCAAGGTCTGGTGGTTTAAAAGGGTCTGGGGCCTCTCCTGTCTCCCTCTCTTGCTCCCCCCCTTGCTATGTGACACACTGGCTCCACTCTGCCTCCTGTCGTGATGGTAAACTTCCTGAGGCCTCACCAGAAACAGAAGCTGCTATGCTTCCTGTACATCCTACAGAATCATGAGCCAATTAAACCTCTTTTCTTTATAAATTACTCAGTCTCTGGTATTTCTTTATCGCAACACAAGAATGGACTAACACAATAACATATGTAAAAGTAAAATGTATGACAACAATAACAAAAAATGAAAGAAGGTAACTAGAAATATGCTGTTGTATTTTAAGGGCATAATATCAATTCAAGGTGGATTATCATAAGTTAAAGACGCATGTCATAA